CGTTACAATAATTTTTCTAAAAAACTGAAATAACAGAAAATTATCAATGGTTATTAAAATATTTTAAATATTCAAATCATACCAAATGTTTATAAAACTTCATAATATTAATTGACTTAAATTACTTTTAGATAAGCATATTTAGCACTAAGTTTGCTTGATGAAGAAGATGGTCTAATGAAGTTTTTTTAATGATTATTTTCCTTTATTTTTTGTTATATTATTCTCAATTTTATTTATCGTATTTGATATGTTTTATTTATATTATTGGATAAAATATCATAATTTTAAATTTTATAATTAAATACGCAAGGTTTTTATTTAATCGATATGATTTGAACAAAAGATTAAAAAATTAAGTTGTTTTGCTATTTCTCTTTTCATTATAATTTTCAAGAACTAAGGATTTAAAAAAATGCACCAAAAAATAAACCCTACTCCCACCAATATAAACCCCACATTCTAAACCCTAACCCTACAATAAACACCTCACCCTCTCCCCCATACACCATAACCACATAATAGACAAATGTTTTTTATTTGAATTAAATATTTTTGCTTAATTTGGTGTAATTGTTGTTGTTGCACAAAATTTCATATGATATTTTAAGAATTTCAAATGTTATTATTTAATCGATATGATTTGAACAAAAGATTAAAAAATTTAGTTGTTTTCCTATTTCATTTTTCATTAGAATTTTCAAGAACTACAGATTTAAAAGTGCACAAAAAATTAAACCCTACACCCACCAATATAAACCCTACCTTCTAAACTCTAACCCTACAATAACCCCACAAAAAATGGAGCCTTGTGCACCTTGTAGTCCCGCACTTTGTGCGAGTACAAAGATTTTAATAATATAAGTAGTATAATTTATGATTGTATTCATCGTTTATGTTTTCGCCGACTTTTTATTTTTCTAATCTGAGTGTGTTTTACTTTTGTCTTTTTTTTCTCTCATTCTTTTGCATAATCTTCTTTATTTTCTTAAAGAGATACAAAATATTTTTCACTTCTTGTTTTCTTCTCCCTATTATTCTTCTCTAATTATTCAATTTTCTTATTTTTCTTTCAATTTTGTATTCATTCTCATTATGTTTTTCTTCTTCTTATTTTCTCAATTGTTGTTTTTCAATATTTTCTTGTGATGTCTTTATATTCTCTAACTCACTATTTTTATTATTATTTTCTAATTTTCTTTACATTCTTTTTCCGATTTTTCTTCTTCCTCATTCCTCCTCTCTCTACCACATCATATTATTCTAGTTTTTATTGATCTCTTCTTTGTCTTTTTTTTTTCTCTTCACATCCATCTTTTCTTCTTTGATTTTTATTTCCTCATGTTCGAGTTTTCTTTTTCTTCTCCAAATTTTCCATCTTTTTTTTCACCGTCTTCTTTTCTTTTACTCATTGTTATTATTCGTTCTTTTATACGTCTTGTATTTCACCTATCACTTCATTCGATAGTTTATATTTTCAAAGATTTTTAAAAGAGTTTTTATCATTAGATAGTCGAGATCTTTTAAAAATCTATTGGTTTTGTTATTTTTTTATTCTGGATTTGTTTTAATTATTTTAGTTTTTTTCTATTTGTGAATGTAATTTAGAAATGTAGTACATAATAATTCAAAATTTTTAAGAATGCACCAAAAACTAAACCCTATTTCATAATATATAAATCCTAAACCCTAAACCCAAATCCCACAGTAACACCACCACCACACTCCACACTCCCCCCCCCGAACAATCCTACACCCTAAACCCAAACCCCACAATATAACCTCCCCCACTCCAAACCGTACACCCAAACTCCACATTTTACAAATTAGTTCTGGATTGAATTTTATATTTATTTTTGTCTTAAAAGAAGTTTTTTGTTTCGTTTTCGATCAGTAAGGTAGTGTATTCAAAAAAATTTAAATGAATCTAAAACTAAACCTTACGCCCATCAATATAAACCGTACATCATAAACCCCAATCCCATTTTATCTTCTTCTTCTTTTACTTCTTTCATATTTTTGTTCATTCATTTTCTACCGTTTGTTTTTTTTTTATTCTTATCAAACTTTCTAATCTTTTTTCTTTTCCTCTCTCTCTTCATCGTCATCTTTTTATTTTCTGATTTAATCTCATATTATAAATCTTTCAATAAACTGTACACTCTAACCCCTACCAAACATTAAATATGATGATTACATTATGTGTTTTGTCTTCTCTAACTTCTCAATCTTCTAATTTCTACGTGTCTAGTCTTTTTCTTCTACTCAGTTTCTTCATTCGGTTAGAGAGATAAAAAAGTATTCCCCTTTTATTAGTTTTGTTCTTCAACTTCTTCTTCTCCAGACTTTTACTCCCTTTTATTTATTCTCCAATAATCTCTTTTTCTTCTTTTTGTTATCCCTTGTCATTTTCTTCTTGTTTATCTCCTAATTTTATTATATATAATATTAAACCATTACTAAAAAATCAAACATCCATGATCGCTCCGAGCCTCAAGAGAAATAGCAAGTGTTATATACACCAAACCTTATTTAGCTAACGATAGATAGAGATGCCTTATAGAGTTATAGTGGATATAAAGATTATTTTCTGAACATGCCTAAACTAATTAACATGGCAAGAAATAGTAATCGGAATGTGTGAATGGTACTCGTCTTTAGCCTATTTTAAGAGTCTCAAGAGCATTAATTGAACCTCACGAATCAGTCTCACCCTGATTGCGACACAGCAATATTTCGGAATAATGGCAGTTGTGGTTATGTTTATGATGATAGAGTGTGTGGAGACGGTGAACATGAAAGTGAAACTTGAACACTAACTTGTAGTTGGTAATCACGGAGAAACCATGATCGAGATTCACAGCTGAACAAACAGAGAAGTGCTTAACGTTTTCGTGAGGCTCTCACAAAAACAGAAACAATCGTAACAATCATTGAAGAGAGTCAAAAACATAAACAATTATAATAAATTCTCTTTCGTAAAACTTCTACAACAATATATAGCTCAGCAAGAGTCCATACACCCTTTACAAAAAATTGCGAATGATCCATGGATGGACTCTTTTCTAAGAAGAACCCCTATAATGAATCCTTTAGTTTCAATCAATCCAACATCAATATATGAAACGATAAATTGGAAGGCTAACTATCTAGTTTCCAATTTTTGCTTTTCTTTTCCTAGCACGCTCAGCTCCTTCTGCTTTCAAGGCCGCTTTCTGTAATTTCTCTTGTCAATTAATAATTGGTCCATAGAACACAAAATTAAGACCATATAAAAGACACTCGCTTCTTTTCCTGTTTTACATTGTTTTTTTCGTCCTTTGCCATCTGCTTTTTTGGCCACGCTTCAACATAAATAGATGTATTTTTATAATGAACAATAAAAGGTTTGACTATAAAAGGTTCTCTTTTCCCATTAGCTTGGAACTAACTGTAACAAAAGCGAGAGAAGAAGAAGTTAATCATTATTACAGTAAATAGAACTTAAATCAAAGTAAAACCATAAAGATGCATGAGAAGAAAAATATGAGACCTAAGAACTAAAATTACGTATAGAAAGAAGAGATGCAAATAGTAATGAGAATTGGGTTGATTATGCTTGTAGCTATCCCTATATATAAGAAAGAATCGTAAAACAAACCTAGGTTTTCCAATTTTTTTATCTTTTACTTTTTTTTTTAATTTTTTTCCATAAATTAGGTATGTGGTATATATCCAAAAATAAATATCCAAATTGATGTTTTTTATCTTTTACTTTTTTTTTTTAATTTTTTTCCAAAATGTGGCGCGAAATATGTTAGGTATGTGTATATATCCAAAAATAATTTATGTAAATATCCAAATTGACGTCTTTTTAAAAAATAAAATAAATTCGTTTTTAAATAAGATAATAAGCAAATTGAAAGATTTAATAAAGATTTTCATTAAGGGTAGTTATGTAATTCGTGGCTGAGAGTTAACGTGGTGCCTCCATTCGAAATTCTGACTTTGCAAATAATAGTATGATGTTAGAGGAGAAATTAGCACATTTCCCTGAGCCCGTCATCATTAGTAAAGTCACAAAGCCCAATCCGATTTTAGGCCTAACATCTTCAAGAAAAAGGCAAGACTTGAAGAGAAAGGCAAATCCATGGAGAAATGTAAATAAATCTTCATGCCGACTTAAAGAATGGAAAAAGATCCAAAAACAAGAGGGAATTTTCCATATCGCAAAAGAGGAAGTTTTCCATCTCGCCTGAAGGAGAATATTCATCATTCGGCCGACTTATCAACCTATATATTGAAGACCCCCCATTGGGGAGAGGGATCCGAAATCATCTAGAATCACTAGGCTTTCACATTAGCTTTTACTCTATCCTCTTGTTCATCACCATAATCTCGCTAGGCTTGTTAGCGAGATTGCTCTCTTGTAATCTTCTTGATAATCTAAGAGTCGAATTAAGCGTTCCAGTTTCCTAAACTCACATCTTAGATAGCCCGTCTTGACGAGTGCTATCTCGGATTCAACAATTGGCGCCCACCGTGGGGCTGGAAACGCTTCTCGCTATTCATCTCGAAGATATCTAGATTTTCACGAACTAGCAACGATGGAACTCGAAAGAGAACACTCCCACCGGGAGCCCGTCTCCCTCAGAAGAAAACTTAAGCGACAGTCTACCAGCACGATAGACAAGTCGCTACCCGCTGAAGGTAGGGACAAGCCTGCTCCCTACAAGAAACCCATCTTCTCGCCACAGAGATCCGTCTCGCCGCGAAGATCGACTTCGCCGCAACGATCCCCTCCGCCAAGAAAGGACGAGAGCCCCCTCCGTCCGCACCACGCCGCTCGAGAAAATCTTCCTCGAGCGACAAACCCCGCAGCTCGAAGAAATCCTCCTCGAGCGAGAAGATCCTCAAACTCATGGAGAATCTCGTCAAGCCACTCGCCGACGGTTTCGAGTCAATGCGAGCACAGCAGAAAAAGACTCAGGAACAGGTGGAAGCCCTAGCACGAGAAGACGATGAAGATCCGTCAAGTCCCCCTGACGGAACAACCCCGTCCGCGCACTTCAGGCGACTTACCACCCAAGAAGCTCGAACGGATGAATCGTCGCCTCGACGAGGTCGATTCGAAAGTTCATCGCGCCACCAGCTCAGCTCCGGAATTGACGAAAGCACTCGCCGACACCCGAAGAAGCCCGCTCACCCGCAGGCTCCGCCAGATTGAGCTACACGAAAGAGTTCGACTCAAAATCGACTCTTACACCGGCGAAGAAGACCCCAAGAAGTGGCTAACCGCGTTCAACCTCGCCATGAGGAGGGAGAAATACAAATCTTACGATGAAAGGGAGGCCAACTACTGTCAAGTATTCGTCGAGCACATGGCGAAAGATGCCTTGACCTGGTTCTCTAACCTCCCCGCCGAGTCGATCGATAACTTCGACGACCTAACCAATGCTTTTCTGAAGCATTACTCCATGCACATGACCCGAATCACTCGGAACATGTTCACCACAACGCAAACCCAAGGCGAACCATTGCGCAGCTTTATGGAAAGGTTCAAACAAGCAGCTCGCGACACTGGCGACATGCCCGATAGCGTCCCGCTAGAAGCACTCCGCAACGGCCTCTGGTACGACTCCAAGTTTAAGGAGGATTTGTCACTAAAACCCCCTGCGACTCTGGAGGACGCGTTCCACCGCTCTCGGAACTACATCTTCCTCGAGGAAGACCAGCGCTTCTACGCCGAGAAACATGGAGATAGGAGGGCAACCTCGTCGAAACCCAGAGAGGAACCCATGGAGGCACGAAAAGATATAATCCAAAAAGATCACTCCTAACGGCGTTCGCAGCAGCCGACAACAAGCCCGAGCAGGAACCGCATCACATCAAGAAACGGGCAACAGATGTCGCGACGCCCGATCTCGACGACTCTGACACGTTTTGCCGCCTCCACGGAACCGGTGACCACTCTACAAGAAACTGCCGACGCCTAACTCGCGATCTCCTTCGGAGATACCAGCACGGGGAGCTACCACCGATAAAAGGGGACCGCTCTCGTCACAGACGAAAGCCGGCACAACCCGTAATCCCGGAAAACACGCCGGATGACATAACGAACTACTCCGACGAATCAGGGCAAGAGATTAACATGATAATGAGCAACCCCATCCATCGCGATTCCATCTCGACGATCACGAAGCATGAATACGCAGCGGTGGAGCACGATCGCAACCCGACCCGCGAAGAAATCCCCACTATCATCTTCACGGATCAAGATACGGCGGGGCTGGATACCCCTCACGTCGACCCACTCGTGGTCAGCTTGCACATCAGTGACTCCAGCGTAGCAAGAATCCTGATCGATACCGGGAGCACGGTGAATCTAATCTACAAAGAGACCCTCAACCGCATGGAAATCAGCAGAGACCAGATCAAGCGTTCGTTGTACTCCCTCACCGGGTTCACCTCCGAACACGTCTCCAGTGAAGGCACGATCCGCCTACCTATCCACGTCGGCGGAACAACCAAAGCCGCCGAATTCTTCGTCATCGATAAACCAGCCATTTACAACGCCATTTTGGGCACCCCATGGCTCCACGAGATGAAGGCCGTCGTCTCGACCTTTCACCAATGTGTGAAATTCCCGGCACAATCAGGAATTTACACACTGAGAGGGAATCAGGGGGCAGCAAGGTCATGCTTCCTCTATGAGCGACGGCTCCGCCTAGCAGCAACATGCACCGCAAACGAGGAAATGGATCCACGCCTTCCATACCACCAGAGACCAAAGCCGGCCCTCGTCGACGAGGTGAATATCGACGAATCGCGTCCGGAAAGGTGCGTTGGCATCGGTGGCGACCTCGACGAAAAGATAAAGAGCAACTGGTCACATTGCTCAAACAGAACGTGCACCTTTTCGCATGGTCAATGGCAGATATGAAAGGGATCGACCCGGCAATCACATCCCACGAGCTAAACGTGGACTCTACCTACAAACCCATGAGACAGAAAAGACGCAAGCTCGGCGCCGATAAAGCTCAAGCAGTCAATGAAGAAGTGGAAAAGCTACTTAGAGCCGGATCGATCACTGAAGTAAAATACCCCGAATGGCTAGCAAATCCAGTCGTCGTCAAAAAGAAAAACGGAAAGTGGAGAGTCTGCGTCGATTTCACAGACCTGAATAAAGCATGCCCAAAGGATAGCTTCCCTTTACCGCATATCGATCGCCTCGTCGAGGCCACGGCAGGGAATGAATTACTATCCTTCATGGACGCCTTTTCAGGATACAATCAGATCTTCATGCATCCCGATGATCGCGAGAAGACGGCATTCATTACCGATCGTGGCACCTATTGCTATAAAGTGATGCCTTGGCCTGAAGAACGCCGGCGCCACTTATCAACGATTAGTGAACAAAATGTTCGCGGACCAGCTCGGTAGTAGCATGGAAGTCTATATCGACGACATGCTAGTCAAATCTGCCAGGCACGATCACGTCAAGCACCTCACGAATGTTTCCGAATCTTGGAGAAGTACGGGATGAAGCTGAACCCCGCAAAATGCACATTCGCCGTTACCTCGGGAGAATTCCTCGGTATGTTGTGACCCAACGCGGGATAGAGGCAAACCCGAAGCAGATCTCGGCGATCCTCGACCTCCCATCGCCGACATCCTCCAAAGAAATCCAAAGACTCACCGGACGTATCGCCGCATTGAACAGATTCATCTCGCGCTCAACCGACAAGTGTCTCCCCTTCTACCAATTGCTTCGATCAAACAAGAAGTTCGAGTGGGACAAAAAATGCGAAGACGCTTTCAAACAATTGAAAGAGTATCTCACTACCCCACCAATTCTCGCAAAACCCGAAGAAGGCGAGACCCTACTCTTATATATCGCAATATCAAGCACGGCGGTAAGCGGAGTCCTCGTCCGAGAAGATCGAGGAGAGCAGCAGCCAGTCTTCTATGTCAGCAAAACCCTCAATGATGCCGAGACGCGATACCCAACCCTAGAAAAACTGGCGCTCGCAGTAGTCATATCGGCACGAAAACTCAGGCCATACTTTCAATCACACTCCATCGTCGTCTTTACCAGCCAACCACTACGCCAAATCCTTCACGGCCCCAACCAATCCGGAAGAATGGCAAGATGGGCAATCGAACTATCGGAATACGATATTGAGTTCAAAAGCCGGACGAGCGCCAAGTCACAAGTCCTAGCCGACTTCATCGTAGAAATCCCACCAGAGCTCGCAACTCAAGAGGACGAGCAAATCCTCAAATGGACACTGCATGTCGACGGATCGTCCTCCAGGCAAGGAGCAGGCGTCGGCATCCGCCTCGTCTCCCCGACAGGCGAGATTCTCGAGCAATCGATCAAACTCGGTTTCCCAGCGTCCAACAACGAAGCCGAATACGAAGCGATTATTGCCGGACTTCGTCTCGCCGAAGCAGTCGGAGCAGAACACGTTCGTGCGTTCTGTGACTCTCAGCTCGTCGCTAAACAATTCAGCGGTGACTACGACACGAAAGACGATCGCATGGATGCGTATCTCAAACAAACGCAAAGACTTGCCAAAGCATTCAAGACGTTCGAGTTGACAAAGATCCCCCGTTCCGAGAATTCCGAAGCCGACGCACTCGCAGCCTTGGCGTCAAAAACCGAATCAGCACTGCGACGGGTCATCCCGGTCGAAACCATCGACGAACCAAGCATCAAACTCCCCAAGGGAACCGTCGTCATGGCAATCTCACAAGAAGAAGAAGAAGACGAAAACCTCACTGATGACGAGTCAGCAGAACACAAATCATGGCAGGATGAAATCAGAAATTACCTCATCAACGACGCCGTGCCAGAGGAGCGATGGGCGGCCCGCCGCCTCCGACGAAAAGCAGCTTACTACTTCTTACGCAACAACGAGCTTTTTCGCTGGAGCGCAAACAAAGTCATCCTGCGATGCTGCGACGAAGCACAAGCTAAGAGCATCATGGTCGAGACCCACGAGGGAGCATCAGGAAACCACGCCGGCGGAAGATCACTCGCTTTAAAAATTAAGAAGATCGGATACTTCTGGCCAACGATGATCGGCGATTGCATAAACGTCGCCGCCAAATGCGTCCCCTGCCAAAGATACGCACCGGCGATCAACGCCCCAACGCAAGCACTTCAAGCTGCGATCCCGGCATACCCCTTTATGCGCTGGGGAATGGATATCGTCGGCCCCATGCCACGCTCACGGCAATGCGCTTACCTCTTGGTCGTCACCGACTACTTTACTAAGTGGGTAGAAGAGGAGAAATTAGTACATTTCCCTGAGCCCGTCATCATTAGTAAAGTCACAAAGCCCAATCCGATTTTAGGCCTAACATCTTCAAGAAAAAGGCAAGACTTGAAGAGAAAGGCGCAATCCATGGAGAAATGTAAATAAATCTTCATGCCGACTTAAAGAATGGAAAAAGATCCAAAAATAAGAGAAAATTTTCCATATCGCAAAAGAGGAAGTTTTCCATCTCGCCTGAAGGAGAATATTCATCATTCGGCCGACTTATCAACGCTATATATTGAAGACCCCCCCATTGGGGAGAGGGATCCGAAATCATCTAGAATCACTAGGCTTTCACATTAGCTTTTACTCTATCCTCTTGTTCATCACCATAATCTCGCTAGGCTTGTTAGTGAGATTGTTCTCTTGTAACCTTCTTGATAATCTAAGAGTCGAATTAAGCGTTCCAGTTTCCTAAACTCACATCTTAGATAGCCCGTCTTGACGAGTGCTATTTCGGATCTAACAACATATATATATATATATATACAAAATTGTTCGAATGGTGTAATCGTCAATTACTGACATTGGTATATATATATATACTTAGATGTCTAGATATTAAATTAATTTCAAAAAGAATGTCACGGTCGCGCATTAACACGATTGATAGTACATTTCGGCAAAAACAAAGTGGTGTACAAGTACAACCAACAAAAATTACTCTTTCTCTATTGGATAAGTTCATGTTTGTTTGATAGTTATTCGCAGTAATAGTGATCATGTTGTTCGTTTTGCTATTACCGCAATCTGCGTCACTAAATTTTTGAAAACGCATGGTGGCTAAATTTTATGTTATTGAATGTAGTGAGTCTAGTGACCGATCACCAATTTGATCGTTTATAACGTCGATAACAAAATTTACAAACCGAACAACCTTTTGATCGGTGTTGTTGTCTTGTTGGTCGCTATCTTGCGACTGCCAAATGAATGAATAATGGTAACTTTAAGCTATAAGAAGACTCGAGTGCTTTATAAATTTTATTTTTCCAAGATCTTGGCATGGCAAACTCTGTTTTTAACTGAAGAAACAATTTCCGACGGCCTTCGTTAAAATGGTATTAAATCTTCTCCGAGTTAAACCTAAAAACGAACATGAGACTAACCAGAACCCCAATCAAAAGCTAAACTGAAATTTAAGTCTAAAGAAGTCGGATTTGGAGAGTTTCTGAATTTGTTTTGGGCACAGATTGCTTAGTTTTGACTTTTGACTCCTTGGTTGATCTTCTCCTTGTTAGATGTTTTCAGTTATTAATAATCAACTAATGTTTGTTCGTCAAAAACTTGGCTGCCAAACTCAAACTCCGACTCTTTATTTTTTATGATAAGAGCATGTTATTTTGCAATTTTACACAAATGCAACCGAAATTCTTGAAGAACTAATAATTATTAAACATCAATTTAGAATTCTTTTACTGATATCTTAGATTATAAAACATGATTTTTCACTTCTAAATAGATATATTTCATCAAAAAAATGTCTGACGAACAAGTGAATCCCGCGAATCGCAGGAAAATCACCTAGTATTATTAATTTATAAAGTTTCTATTGTACTTTGAAATCTAATTCCTCTCTAAAATAATTCTCTAATCTATTGTGCCGATTCCGGTCACACAAATGTAAGAGAGGTGCTCTCAATGGCAAACAGTGGGCCAAACACAAATAGAAGCCAGTTCTTCATTACCTATAGAAGACAACACCATCTCAATGGGTTAAACACTATCTTTGGCCGAGTCATTCATGGCTTTGAAGTGTTTGACCTTATGGAAAAGGTAAAAACCTACTTTACCCTCTCTTAACCACCCACTTCATTGTTCTTATGTCTTCACTCTCTCTCTTGCAGACTCAAACGCCTATAACTCTAAATAATGTCACCACCATGGTAGCCAAACCACAGCCTTGTGCAACGAAAGGTGCTAGCTCAAGCAAAAGCAGCAAAAGAAGAAGGAAAGCAAGAAAGACACATAACAAGTTTTAATGTGTGAAGAAGGTCTAGAGTTTATAATGCTTCTACGATTAGAAATTGGGTCTGGCAAGTAATCTCTCTTTCCCGTTTGTTCCCATTCTCTTAAACAGCCTTCGACTAGAGAAATTGTTATGAGTTGATACCTAAAGGGTATTTTATAATGGAATTAGAAAATGATTCAAATTTCTTGCTTGCAAGGTCTCTTACAACAGAGCACTTCATAAAGAAAGATGCACAGAACAAACCAAATAAAGACAGATTTTAAATTAACTTTGGTAACATACATTAGAGACAAATGTTGATGGTACTCTCTTCAGTTGTACTTTCTCTTCTTGATCTTGAAGGAAGAAGATCGGATAATGTCGTTATCAGCAATGAGAACGGTCTCGAGTGGAGTGATTGATTCGGGGTTGGTGAAGTAAGTGAAGAGAAGGTAGATCTCATCCAAATAAGTGTTGGTTTCTCCAGCTTTGTTCTTCTTTCTTCTGCTGTAAGCCAACGGAATCACTCCTCTGTTGAACACTTCCACATACATTCCACCTCCTGCCACAAGCAACTGCCCAAAAGTCCAAAGACATTACAGAAACAGGACATCATTTACATATACCGGGATAATCCTAAGTTCAAATCTCTCTTCACTTTCAGCTCTTCTTCTTATTACCAGTGAGAGGATTTGTTTTGTCCTGGCCACTTACCTGACACTTTAGGAGATTCTATATGTACAACGACTTGAGAGTCGTGTTTCCTCAACGCCACACAGCTTCCAATGAAGGAAAGGTACGGCTACGAGGTTTGCTTTTTGAGTCTTGACCAGCGTTTTGTAACATCATTTTGTTTGTTGGTGCTCCAGTTGAATGTGGAGTACCATTCCCCAGAAAACCCAAGATACTTCGACATTACAGACTAAGAGACTTTGAATGGTCCTTGTTCCACGAGGGTTGTATAGTTTCTTGCTTAAGAAGAAATCAATTGACCTTTTTGTACAACTGACCCCCGCTTATTATTTAAATTAGTGTCGTAGTGTTTGTCGAATTTTTCAAATGTTCATAAACCCATGTATGCGTTACGACAATGATTTTTTAGAAAAATTGTGATCCTCGGCAATTGATTAATTCACAAACAAATCTATTATGAAACATTTTGCAGATATGGGTATATGGAAACATCTACGAGGCTTACAAATTGAAGAATATTGGCTGTGGTATGTCCAAGCAAGATACAAACTGAACATTGGGCTAAAGAACACGATGTTCTAGGAGACTTTGAGTCTAACTGTCAAAACCCAAAGAATGAAGAGTTTATCCTTGGAGAGTTCAGCAGAGTAGCCAAAGACAAAAAGGTTTAGTTTGTTCAAGAGTCTTATTGATTCTTGTTTGTTTTTACGACAATCTTGTTAACTAAGAAAATTGTGGGGTTTTCTATATTCTTACAGCTGAAGGGATTTGAGCTGATCAAAAGGTGTTCATTTGGACACAGTACCATTCAACATGGAAACAGATCTCATCACACCTTCGTACAAAAAGAAAAGGCCTCAGCTTCTCAAGTACTATCACGTAAACTAAAAGTCACTTTATCATCTTATAATAATTGACACAATCAATGCTATATAATGCAACTTAATTTAGATAATGTCCAGGCGTAATGATGTTCCGGGATTTGCTGAATCGGATTATCTTAACCTCTGTTCTTGTTTACTCAGAAAGAGATTGACGAAATGTATAACAAGTAACAAGGCAAAGAAGTGAAGCTTTTTTACTACAGAGGAAAAAATGAATTTGTTAGACAAACTCTCAGGTTTATGTGTTTCTCTTTTCACTTTAAAATCATATTGGCTTTGATTGGTAACCATAAATGGAGGTAGTACAACTTGTAATGTTTGATATGTTACCAATCAAAAGAGTTACAAATGTGATAGTACAAAAAGCATTTTACAAAAAAAGTAGCATTACAACAAAATAGTGATGTTACAAAAGTCAAAACAATGGTTCAAATGTAAAGCTACTTTGATGTGGTGTTACAAAAAAGTAAGGTGGTACAAAACATTGTTTTTTTTTATTACTTTTTTTTCATAATGTGAGGTGACTTTTGTGCATTACTGAGTCAAAGAGATGGATAAAAGATGCTTTGTATCTCGTGTGGTGGTAACATGTGGTTCTTGTTGTTTTAAGCATTGCCAAAATTTCTTAATCCATCTAGTTTAGTTACCTCCTCATCCTCCATGTGCACTATATTTCATAAAATCTGAGTACATTACATGCAAGAAAACCACATAAACTCATTTAAAAGGTCCAAGCTTGCAATCACTACAAGTTCTAGTAGTGTTTTAAGAGTTTTTTGGTGAGAAGAGTGTTAAACAATGTCTTAGTGAGAAGAATAAACTTCTTCAAATTAATGTACCTTAAGGTAAACAATTTTACAACTATATAGATAAAACAAATATCATTCATTATATACCAAAAAAATATGTGGATTAATGTGACTTTTATGTATTAAAATGTAAAATTCATGAATTTATCCACACTTTATATAGCAACTTCTATAAATACATGCATGCATTTTTATGATTCGTTTTATATTTAACGTAGCAAATTAATTTTTTTATTGCATTTTAATAATGTGTAGGTCTAGTTTATGATTTTTGGTCATGTAAATGAACTATGAACAATTGTAATTACAGTGCAAGAAAAAAATGTCATAAATATAAAAGTAAATAATTCATTAATCTCTTGATAAGTAAATAAGAAGTTTCCAAACAATACAAATTATCAAACTTTCCTTGAAATATATATTTTTTTCTTAAAAAAAAATTGTAATTAATATTTTATATCATACTTTTAGACTATATTAGGTGTGCACCCGCGCAATGCACGGTCGATTGTTGTTAATAATATATTATTAGTAGTATGTTTTGATATCTATATGCATCGTAAACAAGTGTTAGGAAATAACAACTACGCATATGTGTTATGTACAAATTTCTAGACATTTAGAATTTCATATTTCATTAATCTTATAGGTTTTATGATCTCTACTATATATCTATGGTATTTTGATTTTCTAAGACATTTTATAAATATGAATAAGTGATAACTCTTTTGTTTGGGCATATATGTTTATTAAGACTCACGTCTAGTATACATTAACACACACACAAAAGGTTACAAACCGTCTAGTTAAGAATGAAAGAAGATGTAGAGTACTGGTAATGTTGTGTTTGTTTTCATGAACGAAGTATTCAGACGATACGGTATGACTTGTTTTTCACATTGGAATGCAATTTTAAAAGTCTTGCGCCCGGAATTCTAAATTTTGCACCCAAAATAATGCACGTAAACAAAAATCATGTTGAAGTTCCCTTTGTGAGAATCTGGTTTAGAAATGCGTAAAAGAGAACTTGTTATGTGAAATCAGTATGAATATTCCATCCACAGATGTCTGATGGGAAAAAATACAAGTGATCTCTTTAACGATCTCAACAAATGTGTCTGTTTTAAAAATGGGTATGACAATGCAGTTGGAGGAGAAACATTTATAGTGCCACCCTTGTTCTTCCAATTCTTTCCTCACTTGGCTTAGTCGCAAATTCCACTCCACGGTTTCCAACTCAAGGCCTTCTCTATTCTGAGCGATTAGTTTTCAAGCCTCAGAAAATATGATATATCAATTACTTATTACAGACAATCATGGCAAAAAAAATGACTACCATAAAAACTCAAATAATTCTCATTGTATAAAATTTTCATGATTTGTCTCAATTTCATATGAAACTCGAAAATAAGAAAGAATTAGCAACTGGTTGTCAATATATTTTCGAGTAAAATCATTATACTCTGACCTATTGATAAAAAAAGATATTAGTATTAAAGAACAAACCTTTAGATGGAGATAGTCTTGAATCATTCCTTTTCTTGGATAAGATTCCTATCATACAAACCAAAATGGTAAGAAATACCGTAAAAGTCACAAAAAACAAATGACAAACAGGAATTTGGTTGTGCTTAAACTGAAGTGATGACACATGCCTTCGTCGTCATTGGCTCTTAGCTACAAACACCAACCTATCATTTTTGTGTAACGTAGTCATGCTCTTAGAATCGTCGTCAGATCAATTTTTTCCAAGGTAGTAAACCAGAAACTTGGTGCCCATTCTCTTCAATGACAATCAAACACCAGTAACACAAACCTGTCAGAAATAACATCATTTTTTTTTCAGAGCCGTCAAGCAGGAACTTGGAAACCATTCTGTAAAATCAAAGAGGGTGAAAAAAGATTTTTTAAGAAATAATTATAAAGGTCAAGAGATGGAGAGAGGAAAAGAGAATACGTTGTGCAGCTATCTTGTCTTAAGAAACAAAAACAGTTTTGAAAATGATAATAAAGCAAAAGATTATATATTTCTTACCCAATAGCCTTCTCGAGGATAGGCTCATCTTCATCAATCATGTGGTATGTCTTGGACAAGACAGTGTTCTTGAAGTAAGTGTTCTGATCAAAGAGAAACTCGAGCTTGAATCCTTTTGGTTCTTCAACTCTATTCCACTTGATATCTTTAAGATACTTGAGAGCACCTTCATCTCTCTCGGTTACCTAGAATCATGGACAAAAGGAGAGATTAAGTTAAAGAGAACCGCCTTTTCAGACAAAAACAAAAGAGAGTGTCCTAATAACGAACCTCCTCAGCAGTAATGCAATAAGCCAGAAATGAGGTACTCCTTTCTCTGCACAAAAACAGATTTTCGTAATCATTAGAAACACGATTTACTGTCATATGAAGCTAAAGAAAACAAAACCAAAGTTCAGTGGTAAGTAATTGATAGCACACCTTCAGCTTTCTCTTCTCCTTGTTCTGCTTTTACTTCTTCCGGTGCACCTTCAACTTCCACCACACCGTTGACAATCTCTCTGTATGAGATTACACATTAGGAAAGCAGTATTAGTGGAGGTTTCATGTGTATAGGAAGCTAAAGAGCACATAAGCGAAGACAATATTCAAACCTTGGTATATAAAGGCTGATATAACTTTTGGTATTTAGCTTCTAGTGCCCTTTCCTCGAAGAATTTTTCTTCCATTTCATCGTATTGGTTCTACAAAAGTAAAATGAATAAGGAATCAGATAAGTTTACTCCAACAAATCGCATTAGACAAAGCAGCCAACTAATTCATAATCATCTAGATGGAAATTTACTCACTTGGATCTCTCTTAGAACCTCAACACGCTTCCTGACTGTCGGTGTCAAGTTTTCAAGGACATCTGAGTGTGGTCCAGCCAAATTCTGCAACTTGTTCTGCACAAACACACAAAACAACAATCAAATTAGGATGCCAAGACAATCCTCAACCCAAAGTCCATTGCTCTAAAATCATTCAAGATAAATCAACTCTCACAATCCGCTACTAAAGTTTGCAAATGTTGAAACGAAAAATAACAATCAAATTAAGTTGCAGAGACAATCCTCAAAACTATAGAGAAGAAATAAAACCGAAATACTCTAAGACCCAGAAAGAGAAAACAATTCCTTAAGAGCAGCAATAAAAACCCAAATCGTCAGTTAAAACTCACCTTAGGAGCATTAACAAGCCCTGCTCGACCCTCCTCGTTAAGAGCTGCACAGCAAACACGGAAGAGATAGCTTTTTCAATCAATCTAGAAGGAAAAGAGACAAATGAAACAGGTGTCGTTCAAGAATAATATGATAGAATTATACCGGATGTGAGATCGCTCATGTTCAAGTTGTCCTTGTCGTTGCTCATCTTCGCAAGAAAAGAATCTGGCGGAGGAAGAGGAAGATAAGAAACCTTAAAACCCTAGATTTTGGGGATAGTAAGGAAAGCGACAAAAGACTTTCGTGAGAAATTATAACTGATCACTGATCAAGTAGAAGCATGCAAACGGCGGCGAAATTCCATTCTTCCGGTGGTCCATGAGGCCATAGACGGAGGAGGCGGGCTATGAGAGTCTATGTAGAGGATCGAAATTGACGGAGGGCGAGAGATCCGGAGTCGGATTGCCGTGAACCATGGAGCGAGGATGGTCCGTGTGAATGAGTGATTGGACGGGGAGAATGTGTAATTGGTGAACTAGGTGACTTCTCAAACTAAAGAAAGTTATGAGGTCGAGGTCGGGAAAAAGGTTGCTTATCCCAACTCCGAACTGAGTATCGAACTACAAACTGGATTGTCGAACTAGAGAGTACAATAAACTAGTGTTTAGCTCTCTAATCCAAGGGTTTCATGACCCATCAACTAATATTACATGCTCTATTTATAGTCTAAACTTTAGGGCATCTCCAATAATCTGATGGTGATGTGGCTCAATCTCCTCCCTTCATCTTTAGTCTTCTTCCTTTGGCCTTTTGGAGTAGAGTTGGGCCTAGGTGTTGTTTGTGTTGGGCCCTTAATGAGGGTTTGGCACAAACCCACCATTAACAGTTGCCCCCCCGTAGTCCGTCGAGTCGAACTGAGCGTTGATCGGCATCGGCGGATTGCATTCGGAGTTTGGGCTCGGCACAAATAATACCTTAGGCCAGCATGTGAAAACGCTTTGTCTGCAGCGATTGGGAGAACTAAGAGGTCATCTGAAGGAGTTCGTCCAGGAGAACTAAGAGGTCATCCCGAGGAGTTCGTCTGGGAGAACTAAGAGGTCGTCTGGAAGAGTTCGACTGGAAGAACTAAGGGATTTGTCTGGAGGAATTCTTCTGGGAGAGCTAAGAGGTTGTCGAGAGACATAGTCAATATAAGATGTTGAACTCGGAGGATCTTGTTTTGGATGAAGTTGTAGTTGGGCGATGGTAGTTAGGCAATGATATAAACGCTTTAAGTTGAGCAGAGGAGAGCTGGTCGGCATGGAGATGGGAGATAGGAGATAGGAGATATGTATGTTTTGTATGTATAGTTGTACCTCGTGAGAGGTTGTCTACATACCCTCCGAAGAAGGATAAAGCCATTCGTAGTTCGTTGTTGGGGAACTCAACGCTGAGGTCGTCGCTGGGGAGTTTGATGTTGGGGTCGTTGCTTGGGAAGCTCGACGTTAAGGTCGTCGCTTGGGAGCTCGACGTTGAGACCGTCGCTGGGGATCTCGATGTTGAGGCTGTCATGGGATAGCTCGACATGCTGGTTGTCGCGGAAAATCACAGTTGAAAGGTCGCCACTGGATGGTTGTCGATGGGAGATCGTCGTTGAAAGGTCATCGTCAGATGGTCGTCAGTGGGAGATCGTTCTCGAGAGATCGTTGTCGAGTTTTCTGAGGTCGGACCTTCGGACTTCGTTTTGCTTTCCTCCGAGGTGGATGGTGTCAGACCTAGTAGTGTTCCCGAGTAGGCGGTGCTCGGATGTTTTTATTTTTGATTGTGTTAACTTTATATGTTTCTTTTGAATTGCTCCGGACTGTGGAGTTCGTTGGTGTTTATGTTTGAACCTTGCTTATTTCAATCGATGGTGTTTTTGCGATTTTTGTTCTAAGTCTGTTTTTAGACCTTACGAGATGCGCTCGATTTACCTAGTCGTTTTTAGACTTAGATTTTGCGAGACTGGGCTCGGCTTAATTGACACACGGGCAGGCTTGGTCGGCCCTGATTCCGAAGTCGTGGATTATTTCACCATTGCATTCGTGGAACGCGTTTTGATCGAATGTTTGGCCAGAACACCGATGTAAGTTTAGGGTTGCGCGACGTGCGAACACCGTTTATGATTTTTTTTTTATTGAAGTAGCTGGACCTTTTGCAAGGCTGCCTACGTACCTCGAGATGAGGATCAAACCGATCGTAGTTCACTTGCAAGTATGTATACTTGGTTTTTTTTTTTTTTTTTTTTTAAACGAACGAGGAGCTCGGTGGGCGACTTAACTCGGTGGAGTGGGTAGTTTGATGAGGACTCAGTAGTAGTATCGTTTGAGGTTGGCGCTTCAGAGAGGCGATGTAAAGGTGTTCTACATCAAACCGGAGGACTGGTACTCGTTGTAGAGGTGCTCCTGCAGTTGCCTGCACTGTTCGGTTGAGTGCCCGTAGAATTTGTGATGGTCGCAGTATGGTCTTTCCTCGCCACTCGGGGTATCTTCGGACGGCCTGATGTATTTGTTCCTCTTTGGTTTTGGTGGGTCGATCTGGAAGTTCGACGCTTGCTTGCCCTTGTAGTTCGGACTGAGGTTGCTATCGTAGTGTTGACGGGGTTCGCGATCTTTTTCTTGAGACTTTTCTTTTGCGGGAGTCGCCTTTGCTTGGGGTTGGGAAGCGTACTTCTTCGCCCCGATCGCCTTTGTTTCTTCCAGTTCGATGTAGCCTACAGCTCGGTGCAGTGCGTCCTCGAGAGTGTTCGGCCGGTTGAGATGATACTGTCCTTGAGTGGCGACTCGTGCCATAAGGAATTTTTTAACGCCGAGACAGCAGCGTTGTCTCCGACTGCGATCTGAGAAGCGACGGACTTGAACCTATCGATGAAGAATCGGAGGGACTCCTTCGGCTCTTGTTGTAAGGTGTATAGGTCGGCGTCGGAGACGCCGTCTTGGATATGGATCGAGTAATGCTTGAGAAAAGCGGTGGTGAGTACGTCGTAACTATCGACCGAGTTCGCTTCGAGCCGGGAGAACCACTGCAGCGCTGCATCGGTTAGTCGTCCTACGAAGAGTTTGCAGTAGGCCGCGTCTAAATCTTCGGCGGGAAAATGGAACATCTGCATGCCTATGTGGAATGCTGATAGAAAACGGGCTGGATCACTCTGACCGTCGTAGGTCGGCACATTCATCTTTCCTTGCGGTTTGACGGACGTATTGATTATGCGGGCTGTGAAAGGTGTGTTCTTCGATGCCTTCAGAACTTTGGTGATCTCCGGAGCGGAACTAGTTGCTTGATGGATCTTCGATGTCATTTCTTTTAATTGTTCGCGCAGCGATTCGAGCTCCATGTCGCATGCTTCGTTGCGTTGTTCCTGCGGAGTTGAAGTAGGCGGAAGTTCGGCGTGACGGCTGTGTTCGTGCTCGGCGTTGCCTGGGCCGGGGGTGTGGTTGCTTGAGGTGTGAACTCGGTTTCGCGAACAGATTTCTCATTAGTCCGGGCGAGAGTTGAGTTGGCTGTCGTGTTCCGGGTCCGTGCGATGCTTGGCTCCGAGACGCTCGCAGGTCGGCTACTTGAGTCTGGGTGAGGTTCTGAGCGGCTGTGAGTTCGTCGAAGCGCGCGGCTGTCCCTTGGGCGAGGTGGTTGATCTGATTCAACATTGTTTGAAGTATTGCCGAGACTTTGGAGGTCGCCCAAGAGTTTGGCGTGCTTCTTTCTCCATTGCCTGTCGAAGGCGGTTCGGCTGCGGGGGTGCTGATCGTTCGGGGGAGTTCGACGGACGAGTCGACTGCCCTTCCCTCTCCTGTGGTTGGCCTGACATTCTCTCTTACTTCCTGAATTGTTGTAGAAAGAAATTCCTAGTCCCCTCAGACGGCGCCAAATGTAAGTGGTGAACTAGGTGACTTGTCAAACTAAAGAAAGTTATGAGGTCGAGGTCGGAATACTTCGTATTAGAGGTAGAAAAAAGAGTCGAACTACAGCTTTACAAGAGAAGGAGGTCAGGAAGGTTGCTTATCCCAACTCCGAACTGAGTATCGAACTACAAACTGGATTGTCGAACTAGAGAGTACAATAAACTAGTGTTTAGCTCTCTAATCCAAGGGTTTCATGTCCCATCAACTAATATTACATGCTCTATTTATAGTCTAAACTTTAGGGCATCTCCAATAATCTGATGGTGATGTGGCTCAATCTCCTCCCTTCATCTTTAGTCTTCTTCCTTTGGCCTTTTGGAGTAGAGTTGGGCCTAGGTGTTGTTTGTGTTGGGCCCTTAATGAGGGTTTGGCACAAACCCACCATTAACATAATGGTGAATCGGCTAAAAATGAATCTGGGATCTCCGCGAAACCTTTTGTAGGGTACGCAGACATTAAAGACGGCTTATAACTGAGTGGATGAAGAGAGGATCTGTAACGGTTGCGAGTAGAAGCTAGATCGGCAACTTAACCACGTCGAGGAAGAAGAAAGGGAGACGAGAGGAGTATTGGGTTGCGGGTTTAAACCAAAAATCAAACGACGCAGGAAAAATAAAAAAAATTCCAAAAAGAAAAAGGAACGACGTCGTTTTGGAGTCAGACGGTAAGATTTTAAAAAAGTGACGTGGCACTCTCTGGGGATGCTGATGTGTCATCAGCTGGAGAGTGTCACAAGGACTTTCAGTTATGTAGATATGAATTTCAATATTCAAGTTATTTTTTTAGTCAATTAATATATATATTTTTAATTATTTCTATTTTTATAATAAAATATTATATTTGTAATGTTACATTGTTAATTTAGTTACGTTCTATTATTTTGTACTATATCTATCTATATTGCTATATTACGTATTACTGTTTTTTGTAATATCCGCTTTGATTGGTGACACTACAAATAGTAAATGCATTACATAAAATTGAAGCATTCTAATAGTAGAGTTGTACAAATTATTATCTTATTATATAAAGCTGGAAGCGCGCGATGTGGTTGCGACACGTAGAATTTTTACAAATATAGGATTGCGACATGTGTCACTTTTAATGTTATATCCGTTAAGATGGTGACACATGTATTAAGGGAAAGGGAAACTTTTATTTTAAAGGAAAATTTTTAATATCTTATAATAAAAACGAAATTTTATATAATAAAATAAAAATAATGTAATAAAAAAATTCTATTAGTATATTGTACACTAAATATCCTAAAATTGTATGGAATATGTTATATAACTCCTATTTAAAAAAAAAATCCTATTAGTAAATGTAATATGTATGTAAACTAAATATCCTTAAAACTGTATGAAATTGATTACATGAACCCTCTATAAAGAGCTATTGTAGTCTCTTTTTCTTATTCACAAACTCATTAAAGAAAATTCAGAAAATCTCTTTGATTCTCTTTCTCTAGTTTCAAAACATGTCTTTAAAAGTTCAAGAGAACAGTAGAGATTATTTGACTCTAGATCAATTGGATCGAAATTAAAATTATTTAAATAAAATCGTATTAAACGTCATAAGTCTTTTTTTTTGCTTGTAAAAAACGAAGATATCTGCCTTTTCTTTGTACTAAACATTCTCTCCTTCAGTTTTTGTGTATTTGTACTTATACTATACTAGCTAGGTACACCGATGAAACATAGAAACTCTATAAATTAATCATATGAAGATTTTGATATTTTATTGATTTATCAGTTTTAATAAAATAAATAAAAATTATTAATAATTAGCTGAAAATAATATGTTTTTTTAAGTTTATAGTATTTATATTGTTTTTTCGTTATACTATAGTAGTAGCTCTCTTTTTATAGGGAGTTAATCAAAAATAACACATATAACTTGGAAAATAAAAAAAAACTAATCAAAAATGTGTTAAAATTTTAAAAGGAAAAAACATATTTATTTGCCATGGAAAAAAAAAAGTTATATACTGTATTCTAACACAAAATAGGAATATAGGATATATTTGCATGTCTTATATTTGAAAAGGAAAAAGTTTCATCTTGAAAAAGGAAAAAGGAAAATAAAAGTTTGTATATAAATTTACAATATTGTCTATTTGGCTTCATCAAAAATTAATTCGGGTTGCTTCGATTATATTTGTTCTTTCTCTCTAAAAAAACAATTGAAGATACATTATTACACACACAATCAGGTAGGCATTCGATTACAGTTTGTGTCGGGATCCTCTCACAGAAAGCCCTAGCGCGAGAATTGGAATTGGAATTGAAATTGACATTGAAGAAGTGCGAATCGGCGGTAATCAATGAAGGGAAGAGGTGCGAATCGGGGATTGGAAGTGACGACGAGGAGGAATGAGAAAGAGAGAGGGGTGTGTGGGGGACGGCTAATGTCGCTGCCGTATGAGCTGGTTGTGGACATCCTGGGTCAGCTGTCGAGATTGGACCTGATCGCCTTAGCTACGGTCTCCAAGGTACACGGGGTTGCCGCAGGGTGCCATAATTTCAGGCGGTGGAGAAATCGGAAGGGTACCTTGGAGCCGTATATGTATGTATTGATGCACATGGCTCCAGACCCAAGGCCACGGTGGTTGGTCCTCCACCCCGTGCAACGTCGGCTGAAACCGGTCCATTCGGTCTTGTATCCGGCCCCGGTGGCAGGATCCTGTTTCGTGGGGACGGGTGCGGGGATCTATACGATCGGTGGGCTCATCAACGGCAAACCCACATCGCAAGTCACGTTTTTTGACTGTATCAATCACAAAGTGTACCAAGTTCCGCCGATGAAGGTGGCTCGAAGCGGAGCATCGGCAAGCCTGATTGACGATAAGCTATACGTGTTTGGAGGGGCCTGGGATGACGGCGGCGCTGATTCCTCAAACTGGACGGAGGTGTTCGATATCGAGACCGGAACTTGGGAGCTGTTGTCTGTGTCGACGCCGAAGATGCCCCTCAAGATCCAACAAAGCGTGATGATACTCGAGAAGGAGGTTTACGTGGTGGATGAGGATGGTCAACACTTTTCCTTCACACCAAGTAAAGGCATGTTGTTTGTTGGGTCCGAGAACAAAGAGTCTAACCCAAAAGACGTGAACGATTGGTTTTCTTTGAGACACTGTTCTGCCGTGGTACCGGCGGGAGAATACTGTGGCGTTTCCCGTGTGAGCCGGACTGGAAGCAAGTCAAGGGTTTGGAAGAGCTGGAGCTCTGTGGTTGTGATGATATCATCAAACTCTGCATCTACTCTGATGAGAGGATTGCCATCTTCTGGAAAGCGAAAGCCCGGCCTCAGGAGCTTTGGTGTGCCCAGATTTCCTTGACCAGACAAAAGAAAGCCGGCCAAGGCCAGCCATGGGAGGTTTTGGGCAACGTAGAGTGGTCCGGTGCTGTCCTCTCACACTCTGACGGCCTTAACTTGTCACATGCTGCTTCTATCTATGCCTGACCTATTTTGTATCACACACATAAAACTTGTTTTAGGTAGCCTATCTTTTGTGTGTGTGATTTAGTTAGCTGTATAATTTGGAATTCAGTCATATGTTATTGATTTTTGGATCATCTCTTTGTCACTAGACGAGGGTCTTAGCTGTATGGCCTAACCATTGGCACGAGAATCATACCACTAGACCAAACGCCATTGATGTTTGTTTGTTCATAGCGTTACTGTAGCTCTTCATTAACCTCAATGGAAAACACGACCATTCTAATATATTGTTGCATCTGCAATTGTTCTCACGTCAAAGTGAAACAGCTTTTAACAAAAAGAGTGCAGGAGAAGTCTGAGCTCACATGAATGTCCAGAATCCACTATTCCCCCTAGCCTTGTTAATGATCAACTCGTAGAAACTGTGTTGCTGCATTTGCCAAGAACAACGAAAATACATTCGAGATACTCAACGAAACTTGTTCAGCTTGTTCCTCTGCCTCCCGCTCTCAAAACTCTACGACATATTTAGTGAAGATAATGGGAAATTAGTTTCTAATGTATGCCTATTGTTACTAGAGATTATATTCCGCGCGCACTAATGAGAAACAAATTTACGATTCTGGACAAGTATTGTGTGTTAAGGTTAACTAAGCTGGTTAGAGAGAGTTAGCAGTGATCATGTTAGGATTCTAAAGATGGCGAATGCAAGGCATCAAGTGCTTTATGGTTTTGATATAGAAGCATAGCATGCATATCTTAAGATTAAGTTGGAGAATCGGAAGCTACTCATTGTTCACGGTTTAGAGGTCCAATGTAAATCGTGTGTGATTTTAAATCATGCAAGGAGTTCATGTTCTTCTTTAGTAATTGATACAATGAAATAGTAGAGAACAAGGAACTAATGATGGAACTGATTATATCATCGAGTCATGGAGATTATTTCCACCTTGAGGACAAGAATCTGGGTTAGTGAAGAAGAAGAAGCTGAGAAATGTCAAAGACGATGATGCTAAAGAAGTTAAACTGTTTAGCGGGAGATGCTGGGGTCATAACTATCTCGTTATACTCAACAACACTGAAAAGATTCACAACACTTTTCTTCTCTTCCTCTTCCTCAGCTGTGAATCCATAACCTATAACCTATAAACTCAGCCAATCTCTTCACATATGATACGACAAAGGATCAGCACTCATCGTCTCCAACTTTAGGAACAAAATCTTATCTTGGTAATCTTTCCAATACGACATGACATGATCTAGATAATGACCGTACACAGAAAAACCTCACACAGAAGATGTCAAAAGACTCCTCAAAGATGTTTTGTTCATTATGTTACAGTAACCAGCAAAGATGTTCACCTCTCACATCTTGGATCACGTGATTGAAGAGTTTTTTATATGTGAAGCAGCCTCTATAGGATTTTGGAGAGGGGTAACTTCGTTATAATAATCTGTTTGCTCTTTTATTTATGTTTCAAAAGTGAGTAATATAATATTTTTCACAATTCTGTTTTATTTCAGGACGTTAAGATATTAATGTTAAGATGTTAATACAACATTTTTCAGCAGACTTTGCCATGAAAATGATGTGGAAGATGAATTTTGAAGTACCAATGGATTCGGAAGAAATGGTGAAGAGATGAAAAATTGAATCGAAGCACCAATGCGTCCAAAGAACTTATTTGTATTTGTATTTTAAGTAAATATAAATGTCAAAACAATTAATTATATATCTTAAACTGAAATAATTTAAAATTTTAAGGACTCTTATATAAATTAAAAATTTCAACTCTAAAATGGAACTAAAAATGGCAAAAGAGGTTGAAAATGGAGTTGAGTTGGAGCAAAATTGACTCCAAAATAGCAATAAAGGTGAAATATAGGGCTGAGTTGGAAATGCTCGAGAAAAACTTAACAATACCTGATAAATTTATCATTTGCTCGAAAAAACCACAAACTTCTTGAAGTGTTTGACCTTATGGTCAAGGTAAAAACCATTTTACCCTCTCTTAACCACCTTCTTTATTCTTACGTTTTCATTCTCTTTATTTTGTCATGTTTATTTTGTTAATCAAGAAGATTGAACACACACACCCACCACACAAGATCAATAATAATATACATTTGTATGTGGCAAAGTTTGATTATTTTGTAATGGAAAGTTTTTTTTTTGTAATGGAAAGTTAAAAAAATGATTCAAATCTCTTGCTTGCAAGGTCTCTTACAACAATGAAATTCATAAAGAAAGATGCACATCAAATTGAATTATTAATTCCAACATCAAATTAGATACATGAAATCAATTTCTGGTTATGGTCGTGAGAATCAATAGTTAAGTCAGAATACGTGTTTTTTTGTGGCCATATTGGTCGATATGAGGATTAGTATCATCCATGTTCCATAATTTCCAAGTATGATTGATTTGAGTTGTTGTTATTAATTTCTAATGATACAATTTTGTCAAATTTACGAATTTTGAATGTATGTGTATTAAAATGACGTCCTAAAATAGTCTGGATATTTTTCTGGAAATCTAAACAAATTGTAGTTTTTTCCAGCAAATGAAAAATAGTTCATATATTCTTAGGGTTTTTACCAACATGGGATTAAGGGTATGCGGATGAAAAAACAATTTGTTGCCACACAGATTCGTGAGCCCCGTGGAAAGGAAATACCCTAATTACTCGCTCCTCCTTTCCGCTCACTTTTATTACCATTTTAAAATTAATGTTGCTCCAACTCAATTCTATTTTCAACCTCAAAATGGCAAAATGCCATATTTTTCCCCCAAATTAGGGATGATCCCATTTTCATTTCCATTTTGAAATTGAAATTTTTAATGTATATAAGAGTTTTTGAAGTTTTAAACTATTTCAGTTTAAGATATATAATTCATTATTTTGATGTTTATTTTTACTCTAAAATACAAATAACACATATTTAATAGGAAATTTAATTATTTAAGCTAATAATAAATTAAAAAAAAAAGGAAAAATACTTAATTAGAAATAACATCAGAAATTTATTAAAACAACAATTACTGATTTATAATGTATGCTGTTTGCTACTGTATTGAGCTTATATTCCGCTCATATACCTCTGTGTTGGTAAATATTTCACCAATGTATTCAAACACAAAGGTTCCTTTTGGCAGTGTTCTAATACCCCATCCTGAGCATCAAAACAAGAAGGAGACTAATAAATAAATAAATAAAAACAGTATGGTTGGCATATAGGAAACAAAGTAGCATCTCCCAGAAATGTTACCTGTTGGCACCTTGTCCCTCTCTGTACAAGTCGATTTCCACACACATGTCACATTCACACTTTCTACAGCATTCCTTAATGATCAACTGTCCATCACATTTTGCATGTATGCCCTGGTCGTGATTGAAGCAAAATTTATGGAACCTATCTGGTGGCTTTTTCATCTTGTCCATAAACTTCTCCTTTAGCAACCCTTGTTTGGTATAAGCATATTCTCCACGAGCACAAGCACATGGAAAGTCGGCAGAAAGACAGTGCAACAATCTTCATCGGAAATCCGAGCCAAATACACATGCATATAAGTACACAATGTTGTGAGGAAGTACACAATGTTGTGAGGGATGTAAGTAAAATTTGGCTCTGAAACTTTAGCTATGTCAGAAATTCTGTTATTATATTTCATCCATTGCTATGCTGTGGCTGCTTCTGGACTACCTGAATGTGCATGTTCTCCTCCATTTGTCCTTGAGATCATCCGGAATGGAACACCTTCTCTCCCATATTAAGAATCTTCCTCCATGGCATGTTCTCCCAAAATTCTCCACTCCGAGACAATCGCTAACCAAATCATGAGATAAGAGAAAACTAAAAACATTATATTCAATAAAAAACGACACGTCACAGAGCTGATGTTAGGGTGATGAAGGAGAATGGAAGAGGTTCGTTGTATGGCAACATACTTTCTCCATTTCAACTAAGATCTTATCATGCCGTTGTGCCCATCTGGATTAGAGATGGAACTACTGAGAAACAAGTTTACAAGATTCTGGTCATGTGTGGAAGCTAGGAGAAGTATTGTGTGTTAAGGTTCAGCTAAGCTGGTTAGAGAGATTAGCAGTGATCATGATATCATCAGTAATTCAATATATACATATAGGTGACTTGTTGTTTATATCATCAGTACTTCAATATATATATATATATATATATATATATATATATATATATATATATATATATCAAGAATAGATCATTATAAAAACTTCTTTTTTTGTTCATTTAACCAGCAAGAATGTTTACCTTTCATGTCTACCTCTGGCTCACATCTTCGATCGCGTGGTTGAAGAGCTTTTTATATGTCAAGCAGCCTCTATAGGATTTTGGAGAGAGGTAACTTTGTTATAATAATTTGTTTGCTCTTTTATTTAGAGACTCTGTTTCAAAAGAGAGCAATATAATATTTTTCATAATCTGTTTTTTTTCGGGATGTTAAGACAGACATTTCTGCTCTGAAACCCACTGTTTTATGCGCTTTCCTCGTGTGCTAGAGAAAATAATACACTGGAAATGTATAAAATATTTTGCAAGACTTCTTTATAAATTTTATTTTCCAAGATCTTGGCATGGCAAACTTTGTTTTAACTGAAGAAACAATTTTCGACGGCCTTCGTAAAATGCTACTAAATCTTAGACTAACCAGAAATTTAAGTCTAAACGAAGTCAACTGAAAAGCTAGTAACCCACAAAAATATAACCCATATATTCAACTAGTCAACATACAAGAAGACAGCAAAACTTGGGAATATGCAAACCATGCCTTGTCAAAGAAGTCATCTGTTAAATTCAGATTCTGCAAATAAGACTCAATTACTAAATCACAAGTCACAAGTCACAACCATTCAACTGTAGACCCAAAAAGGAAAATCTTTTCTTGCTATAAAACGTGAGGTTTCTAATGTTGGAGCAGTGAACTTGGGTTGGTTATGCGGAGAAGGCTCTAAGTGTCATGGGGCTTGGGAGGAAAAACAAGTGTTTAGGGTAAACAACCCCAAGTCATGACTCAGATTGTAGAGAGTAGGCACTATCAAACTTGAACAAACCAAAAAGCATTCGAGTACATTTTTCCTTTTGATTGTTGAGCACATGTTTTTCGAGTTCTGTAGCGGTGCCTCAAAACGCTCCTATCTTGACGAAAATTTTGAGGCCAGGTCAAGTTTCGACTTTCGACTACTTTCATTAATAAATAGTATAAATAAGTTCACTAACCTAATCACAAAGCTGGAATAGCTCAGTTGGTTAGAGCGTGTGGCTGTTAACCACAAGGTCGGAGGTTCGACCTCTCCTTCTAGCGTTTTTATATTATTTAAACTGCGATTATTATCATCACTCTCTTGTTTCTACCATTTGTTGACATTCTTAAGCTAAATTTTTTAAAACTTCTGCAGTAATAATTATAAAGATGCTATTTTTTTGTTTGTGTTGTATACATAAAACTCTAAATTACAGCTTCTTGCTTGAATACCTTTACTATAAATAAGAGCAACAAACAAACAAACAAACAGACTTCAAAAGTGAGAGAAGGAGTTTCAGGCAACAATGTTGGAGACAGGACCTGTAAACCAATGGCGTGCGCTTATAACCCAATACAAGAGAATTATAGCCAACACACCAGCAACAGCCACCGGCGTGTAGTTGAGGGTCTCTGCAGCTATAGGATACGCCACAGGAAGCGAAAAGAGCACAGAGATGGTTGCAACCCATATCACCGCCACCCACCCAACCACCATCCCGTACTTGCCAAGCGTGAACGGTCCAGCCACAAAGGTGTTGCGTGACAGCGTCACTCTCAGAAATATCGGTATCGCGTATGCTATGTACAGCCCGATCGTCGCTATCGACACCATTGCTTGGAACGCCACTATGCTCCCCAGTGACGTGAGCGCCATACAGAAGGAAATGGAAGCAGAGAGCCAAACCGCGTTGATAGGAACCTCTCTGCTGTTCACTTTGTGCCACAACGGCGACAAGGGCATGGCTCCGTCTCTCGAGAACGCGTAAGCCATCCTTGAATTGCTGGTGATAGAGCTCATCCCGCAGAAAAACACAGCAACCGCGACAACGCCTAAGCAGACGATTCCACCAGTGCCGCTCCCGAACCTGCTCTTGAAAGCTAAGTAGAAGATCTCAGCAATGGCGTAACCACCAGAGTCGTTGTCCTCACTCAGAAGGTAGGGTATGTCCGTGACCGTATAGCTTATCCCAACTATGTAACCCCATCCGAACAGAATCGATATCCCTATTGCACTTATTATCCCTCTTGGCCCGTTCTTGTCTGCGTCTATCGTCTCCTCCGTCTACAACTTATCATCGTCAAGAAAAAGCTTTTTAACAGTTATAAAAACAGAATCAGTTTTACTCACCATGTGTGCAGAGGCATCATAGCCTGTAATGGTGTACTGGCTCATGAGGAGGCCAAGAACGAATATGTAAGCGTAGCTGGTGATGCCGACGTCATTGTCAGTGTTAAAATTGGTGAAGACGAACTTTGTGGTTGCTCTCTCCGTGGAAACCAGAGGGATCAGAATCATGAGCAACACAACCCCTGAATCGTAGAATCTTAGTTAGGCATAGAGAGAAACAGAGAGATGAAATTTGAAGAGAGAGATTTTGGTGGTACCGAGGAGATTCCAGAGAGCGGCGAGCTGTCCGATGAAGGACAAGACGGAGATCGGGAGGCTGTTGAGAAGTGCGTGGATGAAGAGGATTCCTCCGTATATAGCAATCACGACGAAGTCGGATCCTTCGTAACCACCGCCGTTTTTACCGCCGGTGGAGAGAAGAGCGATCACTTGAATCAGCTGCGCCAGAGAGAAATCAATGCTCGCCGTCACTGCCCACTGACCAACGATGTTGAACCTGAAATGAATCAGAGAGACGATTGCTTCCATTTTTAACAATTCGAATTGATTTTGAGAGAGAGAAGAGAAGAGAGAAGGTTGTACCAGCCGGTCATCCAAGAGGCGAGTGGGGCCCATCTGGGGCCGGCGAGCATGGCACTCCAGTAGTAGAGACCGCCGGAGGTTGGGTAAGAGGAGCAGATCTCGGCCATGGATAAGCCGACGCACATTGTGAATCCTCCGGCGAGGAACCATCCGTAAACGAGAGTGACGGTACCGCCGAATCGCAAACCGGTGTTGTAGGTGGTGGTGATACCGGTGAGCACGGAGATGATGGAGAAGGAGATGGCGAAATTGGAGAAGACGCTGAAAAGTCAAAGTCAAATGTTGATTTAGCACTTCGAGGAAAAATCGAAATTTGAGAGCAGAGAAAAACAAATGAAGGTGAGAGTGAGTGGAGAGAGAGACGAGAGATCGCGCTTGAGCTCTTGCTTGTAGCCGAGCTCTTTGAGGCGGGCTTGGCCAGAATCCATGGAGGGAAGTAGAGATTGAGTTTGTTCTGAGAAGCCGACCATAGTCTTTGCTCACTTTAGTCACTCCAAAGTTTGTTGGGCTGTACGTTTCGGATGGGGTTTTTTTCTGTTACGTGCGTACCCCTCCAAACTCTCCAATCTTAATCTTTAGTGCAATAAAATCTTTTTTATTTGTGAGATCTCAAGCATCTATATAGTATTAGTACATGAATCACATGATCAGGAACCTCAAAATATGTAACTTTTAAAAAGAAGATTAAGGGGGCTATTTTTAGTGATTTGTATTAAAATGTCAAATCTCATGTAATTCAAACTTGAATTCTAAAAACTCTTATAAAATCAAGTGTTATTAAACTTGTGATTTAAATCCATTCTAGTGTTATTGGAAATATTTTAAGAAGTGGATTTAGAAAAATTGTTATGATTTTAGAATTGTTTGGTGAGTTTTCTGTTAAAAATATGATAATTAAAGGGTCTGATTGGTTGTGGCTGTATCTTTGAATTTTTTGCTGTAGAATTTATGCTGTAGAATTTTTGGCTGTGATTGTAGATTTTAGTGCTGTAAGATTTTTTATTGTAGATTGTGGCATTAAATACAGCATTAAAAAAAAAAATAAGATATAGAAATAATAGATTAAAAAATAAATGTTGAAAACATAATAAGGAAAGAGAAAAGAGAAAAGAGAAAATTCTAAAAGCACTTAATTTTGTGCTCTAGAAAAATTGCTTTCCAAAGCCACAGAATTTCCATAAACAAAAAAAATTGCTCTGCGTTTCAAAAATGGAAAGAAATGAAATGAGAGCTTGATTGGTGATTTTGGATTGCTCTACAGAGATTTAGTGCTCTGTAGAGCAATCACAGCTCCTACCAATCATCCCCAAAATCTCATGATTTAAGATAGGATTCTTGAATACTTTATAACTAAAATCGTAGAATTATCTTGTAACAATTTTCATAATTTGTACTAGATTAGTCAATCAGTGTTAAAAAAAAACTAAAATCATAGAAAATTTTACAATATACTACAAATCATCTAAAAAACTTGCTAAAAAAAATTAAATCTATATCACTCCATATCTTTAAGTCAATCATAGAAAGTTTGGTGTGAAATGAGATATCTGTCAATGTTGATACTCTCAGTCTTTACTTATAACCAAAAGCCAAAAGTATGTAATAATTAATCAACTATTCAAAGTAACAAAACAAAAAAAAAACAGTTGTCTTTGACCATTCTATGATGATGACTATATATAGTCATGTACGCTACTGAATAAATTAGAGAAAATGTTTTAAAACAAACATTGGAGTGACTCAAGTGATCATGACTATAGTTTCAATTTCCAAAGCATCAAATTACATCCAAATTCATGATCAGTGACTTATAAAAAAATTGCAAAATATGACAAACCATAAAACTTGCTGATTTTGCCTATTTTAAGAACTAACTGATTTTGCATATAATGTATGAGTATTTAAACGTCTACTTGTTCACAATAGGCAAAATCAGTAAGTTCTTTATTAGTAATCGTTCTTGATCATTAGCATACCATGTTAGGTGCATGTGTATTTACCTAACTAATAAAACATCGATCTTATTCTTGCCATACCACATGTTAGGTGCACGTGTGTGTCACTCACTTTCCTCATCCGTCTAACGGTCTAAAGAGCCACTTTCCTCATCTGGTCGATCGTGAATATATTGACAACGATTCAACCATCATGCAAATCTCCAAAATCCAAGCAGCTTGTTAAAATTCATCAAACAAATTAGTCTCCACTGACAAAGGCCAAAGCCATAATAAAACGAAGCGTAGATTTACAAATGTAAGACGTTTAAATACACAATACACTCCCAACGGCTGAAAAAGTGAAAATAAAACCAAAAATAATGAATCAAATAATAAAAGAGAATCATCGAATCATCTTGGAGCAGTGTTAGTGCCAGATTCCATGTTCTCGAGAGAAGTCGGTTCCACCTGAAGAGACATTGCCCTCAACGCATCTCTGTTCTGAGAGCTCACGTTATCAGCTCCACGTTCCTGCGCTGCTTTGAAATACGCGTAAGGACCCCATCCTTCTTCATGGTAAGGGTTAGGATAAAACTGACGATAACAAAAGGCGGCGACAAAGAGACCAATGAGAGCTCCGGCGAAGACATCTTGCCAGTGATGCCAGTAGTCATCCACACGCGACACACCCACGAGGCAAGCCGCGAGCAGAGGGAGGAACACGAGGCAGAGCTTAGCCACGTGTCCTTCTCTGTTAAACGCCTTGAGTTTCCCAGACAAGTAGAGCGAGAGGTATCCGAGCCCAGCGAAAGACCACGACGTGTGTCCGCTCGGGAAGCTCTTGTGACCTTCCTTGACCTCTCCGGCTGCTCCATGGCAAATCACACCTCCCAACGCGTCGTAAAGCTCTTTCCCGTCGGGGAAGCAGCGCCAGTAGAAGTTAGGACGAGGACGTCCGGTGGCGAGCTTGATGGAGTCGGTGATGACGCCGGTGATCAAGACGGTGAAGAGGAGGCCGAGGATGGAGTGGTGGAGATCGTAGACGCATGTCCTCTTCATGTAGAAGCAGACGAAGACTATGATCGGAAGAAGGACCGCGTAGATTGGGACAGACCAGACGGGGACGGTGTTGTCGTTGAAAGGGTATTTGAGATCAGTCATCATGTCTTTGCCAACGTATCTATAGAAAGGAGGGATTAGTTGCAGACCGATCTCGATTGCCACTAAGATGACGAGTATGATCCAGTCGTGTTTGTGTTTGATTGCGACTCTTCCTCCATGGCTCTTTACTGTGTGGACTCCGAGATCTATCTCCTGCATCCTCCCCCTCTGCGGCTCCTCTTCCTGCAACAATTACACAATTCACAATTCATAATCACAATCTACTAAAAAAATTGGAATTAAGAAACAGTTGATGTGTAAGAAATTAACTACTAATTGGGGATTAGGGTTTGAGGAGTCCGATTTGGATGAGCGTAATAACGGAATGCAATTCATTCTCAATCGCATAAAATCAGCGAAGAGATGGTTTCTTAGTGATATTATTTTTGTTACTATTACAACCAAGACGAGAGACTTCCTCTACAAATCCAGCAATTTTTGTCTGTCATTAACAATACTTTCGTTGACTTTTAACTAACTTATCAAGTTGAGTTTTTTTTATTTCAATTTAAACAAGACAAGGATGATGTGGAAGAAGAGGAAGAGAGAAGAGTCGTGATTAGGTTACCTGAGAATTGCCCCAGAACTTGAGAGGAGAGAAAAACGATCCAATTGCCATCGGACAATGACGTTTCCGATTAAGCTTCTGCGATACAGTGTGAATCGAAATTCAAAGAGAGAAACAGACTAGGGCGAAAGCGATAAACTGAATATTTCCCAGAAGAAGAAGAAAGACGCGT